ATATGTTAGAGTTGTACAATAATGATTGAAGATATTAAATAATTGTGTGATTATAAACATCAATAACATTTATCATATTTACCTCTGCCTGTGAATGTCGTCGTAAATGTAATATGTATATCCATGATATCACAATAGCAGCAAATAGCAGAACAATTACAACAATTAATGTAACTATCGCTCCGTCTGTAGAACTATTATTGTCAGGTGAATCTGAAATTGACATGTCAAATTATCTGATCACCGTGTTCACACAAAGAAAGATGGCTTGATTTGTTATAAAATAGTATTACTGCTACATTACTTACACTGAAGTACGTTTACTGCTATTTCATCACTGGTACTTATGCCGATCGTATCGTCGTGAAAACGTGTTGCTGCATAACATGTGTAAGTTCCACTCTGTTCATCACTAATTGATGTAATGATATAAAGTAGATGTAAGTCATACTCTACTTCCGCCACTACATTTTCATTGCCATTGTCATCTGTGTGGTTTATATACATTTCATAAGGATGAGGGTTCGCATCAGTTGTTGCACAGAGTAAAACAACATCGCTTCCTTCATATACATTAGTTGAACCAAAAAGGGAAATATTGGCCAGATCTAGTAGGCAATAAAATGGGGTAAAATAAAAAATCGCATACTTACTAAATGTCATATATGTTACCTAAATCACTGTGCTATTTTGTTTTTTATACGAATGAATAACATTGCATCACTCACACTGAACATCAAAATGCAAAGAATCATTGTCTGACGCGATTGATCCATCCCAAAATACAGTTTCTGCAAAGCAGGTGTAAGTGCCAGTGTCACTACGTGATATGTTGTTTAGTGTCAGTGTTGATCCAGCAGAGAGAGAACCATCTGGATGTATCCATATTCCATTCGTTTCAGGATTGGAATCAACTAGACATTCCACTTCATATTCATCGCCCTCGATAACTGTTACTTCATTTTGTCTAATATAATCACATTAGGAACATCTGAAAATGTCGATATCTAATATTGAAACGTGTATCAAATATCATGAATCATTTAACCCAATTTCAACAACCGTTAAACATCAGCAAACATAACATATATATGTATGTTACTGAAATAGCATAAGGCACAACCACGATATATTCCAGATGATTAATAGGTTCGAGTCAAATTGAAATTTAAATGTCATGTTCCTCATCATTATTATTGACACGATTCCTAATATTGTAAAAAAAATGGCATTCATTATAGTAAGTTTCCTGGGTGATAATAGTTGTCCATCACACACAATAGGAGGTTGTGCATTGCATGTGTGTAAACATTTGAATTCGGCTCAAACTTTCAATGTTCCGAGCACTCACATTGTACATCAATGCATTTGGTGTCTACACCAATTCCACGAGAATTATCCCAAAATGTGTTTGTAGCCAGACAAGAGTAGTTGCCAGAGATTTTCCTGGAAGTCGATTGAAATAATAGAATTTG